ACTCATGATACATGGGTAAAGCCAGCAGATGGTTACGTTCGCTTCTCGGTTCCAAGAAATCGCCGTCGGAATCATCACCGCCGGCGATAGAGGGAAAGAATAACAAGTGGGGTCTCCGGAAATCTTCCAATGGAAGTGGGAGAACCACTGGAGCTGAGATTGCTTATGGGAATGAAGACCCACCGGCAAGCCCTTATGCGGAAGCACTGGACGCGAACAAGCACGCCATAGCGGTTGCGGCAGCCACTGCCGCGGTTGCAGAGGCGGCACTGGCCGCCGCTCAGGCTGCGGCGGAGGTTGTTAGGCTTACAAGTGGTAAGAGGTCTGCTTCGGCTTATGCGAGTAGCAACACCGAACGCCGCCGTGAATGGGCTGCCGTTAAAATTCAGTCAGAATTTCGAGCTTACTTGGTTAGTGTTTTTTTTTTTTGATTCGTTTCAATTTGTTTGTTTGATTTTAATTCGAAACTTTTTAGAACGAGGATTAAAATTAAAACAAATAAATTGAAACGTAGTTAGTATAATGTTAATATGATTTTAGTAAAATTAGTTGTTATCAATTTTTGTGGTTGGGGAGGGAGAATTGAAGGAGACAACTGACAAGTTGCACAGTAACTTCGCAATCTTAACGAAATGATACCATGGGTTTCAAAACTATCCACTCCTTCGTGTCTGTTAAGTCATTGTCACTCTTTTTTGAATCTTCCATTAATTAATTTTTTGACCTTGTGTCCTCTTCACTTCTCCTGTACCAACAATAATTTGTTCTTTTTTTCATTTTTTTTAGCTAAACCTCTTGGGGTTTCAAAAAGTGTGTATAAAAGATTGCTTTTTTTTTTTTGTTTTTTGGCAGTATCAGCAAAGAAACACTGTTCATTCAAGGTTTTAAAAAGAAGTATTAAACTTTTTTTTTGACAAACCTCATTTTCCTACCTACCTGGATCCAAATCAATAATTAAAACAAGGAGGGCGGGCATAGCATACTAGAGAGTTGGTTCATCTAATGTCTTGCTGAACTTAAGTAATGGACTAGGTGAAGTGACTTGTCTTTCTCTACTATAATGGAGTAAGATTTTTCTTCTTCTTATGTTAAGTGTTGTCAAGATTGAGGAAAAGGACTTCCCAACCACCCTGTTTCACTCCAGTTAACTTAACAAAATAATAGCTCATTGGTGTCCATACTAATGTTATAATCATCATTAATGGTGATGAATATAGTGACAAGTCTTTAATCTTGTTTCCTGGAGAAATTTCTTGAGACAAGTTGACAATTTTAGATTAATTGGAGTGCAGTGTGCTGCAGCACTTTGTGATTTTAGGTGCAGGTTTAATATAAGTATATGTTTTTTCAACAAATTTCAGTTGTATATGTAGAGTCGGATAGGAGGAAAATGAGTCTACCTTCAGCTGCTGCCGACAGTATAGATCTGCAACAGGTGCTAATTGAACACTTAAAAGGTTCAAAATTAAGCTGCCTATGGACTTCACTGGATGATACCTACTAGATAAAATTAATATAACTCATGCAGCATGATTCAAGAAGAGGATCAAGCACATTGCTGCTGTTTTTTCTGTTTGGTCCTCATAATTTATTGCCATAGTGCTTTGTATTCAACTATAAAGAATTATTGCTTAACCCACCCTGATGTATGGGATCAAATAAAACTGCAATATCTTTTTGGGTAATACAGAATTTTAATTCATGAGCTAGGCACTGGATGCTACTGGTTAATTGCGATGGCTAAGATTAATTGACATTTTTGTTCTGTGGGGGGCATGTTGTAGGCTAGAAGGGCACTGAGGGCACTTAAGGGACTAGTGAAGCTGCAAGCACTAGTCAGAGGTCGTATAGTGAGGAAACAAAGTGCAGATATGCTCCGACGTATGCAAGCCATGGCTCGAATCCAGGCCCGAGCTTCTGCCAACCGGAATGTAACTTCAGATCCTTCTCATTCCAGCATCAGAGCTTCACGATTTGAGCATCCTGTAAGTATTATATTTTAGAGATGAGCCATGGACAGCCTTGTCTAAACATACTCTAGTCTTGACCTCATGATCTCAGTAAAAGCTAGGGTCTTTTGAATGTTCTTTTGTCGACAAACTATTGTTAATCTACTTCAACTGGTAAGATCTTGAAGTGTAAATGACTCATGCAGGAATGTTCTAAGACTAAAATGTTGCCTCAATATACTTGGTCAGAGCGACTGTTTACACTGATCAATTTTGAACTTGTACATTGATTGGATTGTATGGTAACCATTTTCTATTTCACCAAAAATCTTGCAGGGCATTGCAACTCCGAGAAAGTATGATCCACAGCAGTATTCATTCAATTGTAAATATCATGGGCCAAACCTGAAGGTAGCACTCACCAGTAATTCTGAATTATATTTTATTTTCTCTTCGCAAACTTCACATGGAGGCATATTCATTCTCAGAGATGTCGGCAGTTCCTAGAAGTAAAAGGGACCTTATTTATCCAGTAAAACTCATTTCAGTTAGATGTCTGCCAATTACAATCATGCATGCATTAATGCATCTTCTTTTTTTTCCATATTAAATGCAGAAATCTGGTTCCAAATTGAAACCACATGAGAGCTTGGGTCAGGATAGGTCACATTTGGCTTCACAATATATACATCACTGGATGGAGGAATGTGCAAAAAATGGCTACGGAGATACTTCCCTGAAAAAAAATGGTGGAGATCATGATGAGAGCACTGACAAGATACTTGAGATAGACACATGGAAGCCACGTTTACACCCCAAACGAAGTGAGAAAAAGTCTCACAATTCACATTATTCATCTTGGAATGACAATGCACACGGAACAAGAACTGTCAACTCTATGTCGAAACATTTGGCAAACCATATGAAACCAAATCCTAGTATATCTTCAGGGGAAGTGTCATCTTTGAGGTCACTGGCATTTTGTCAAGATACTGATCAGCCAGTTGCTTGGACTGTTGAGCACAGCCCTGGAGTACACTCCACATTGTCCAGACCAGGGAGTAGCAGTAGAAGAGGCCCCTCTCCTTCGAGAAGTGAGTGCTCACGAAGCTTGTTTGGGGACTACCTAGGTCACCCCAACTATATGTCTAATACGGAATCATATCTTGCGAAACTTAGGTCGCATAGCGCACCCAGGCAAAGAGTGCAGTTTGAGAAAATTGGTTCGACAAAGTATGTTGATGGACTTGTGGATGCAGATACAAATTCAGAGAAGAGTTGGAGATCACTTGGTAACTTTAGGAACAAAGCAAAACCAGGATCAGGTCAATCAGACCGAGTAGGGACACCTGATCATCGCAGTGCTGTCCGGTCCAGCTCTCCCTTTGGCCCGAGACAATAGAGTGATGCTTCCTTTGACATGCAAAGCAATTTAGTCTTGCTGTACAAATTCTAGTAGTAAAAATCAACCTTGGTCTCAATATGACCTAAGGTAAGTACTTGCCAAGTTGATGACAAGACTTATGTTTGTAGAGTGAAAATAACAGGTTGCTTGGATTGTCTTCTGTTGAGTTACTAAATTTTGCTTGTAACAATGTTGAGTTATTAATTATTGCCTGTGACAATGTTTGATAAAATGTAGTACTACCATTCTTAAATGACTTGTAATATGCCTGATGTGCACTATTAATGTGCCATCAAGAACTTTTTTTTTTTTTTTTGATAAAAGTGAAGTGAGAAAATTTCATTAAAGGATGCCCATAATTACAGCATCTAAGCAAAAAAGGTAGTTCATGTACAATGAACCTGCCATTACTACTAGACATCTAGATTTAAGTGCTTTTAAAAGGAAAAATGACCCCTCAAAGCAGTGGGACAGGAATAACTATGAAGGGACCAAAAGAATTGGGAGATTGGTGAGTCACTTTTGCCAAAAGAATAACAATACATATTACTTATTAGCTGATATCCATTTTTGTGATTTGTTGGTCTTATGTTTAATTATTAACTCTTACCAAATACTCAGACAATAAGCTATAGGTTTGTCTTCACAATTGTCGGTTTTTCCTCCCATCAGTCACTTCCCCTCACATGAACTATGCATTCACGAAGGCAATACCTTTTATGTTAGGCTAAAAATCTTTACTTTAAGCTGCCTTTTCGATGACATTAGACCCCAAATAGTTGCTCAATCATTCGTAAAATTGAAGATCCAAAACTGAAATGACAAAAGAAAAGTAGTAATCAATATATTCCCAGAAAGTTTTCATCCCACATACTTTGATTTGGGTCCCATGGATGAAGAAAATGCCCAAAATAATATTCTTTCCATGCTTTTGAACCAAACAGCCCCACAACATGAAGCTGATGCCAATGTTACTTATTACATGAAGATATACAGCTGCACTTTTTACTTTTCTCTTATGCTAATTGTTGAATTACCCAAGTTGGTGATATGCTGACTAAGAAAATTCAAAGCAAGAAGTAGGCAAAAGGTTGAACTAGTTGTTGAATTGGTACCTTGAGACAATTTTGTAGTCTAAAGTAGTATTAGTTTTGTCATTTTTCCTCCTTTTGTTTTTTAGTCTCAAGTAGGATTTTCCTGCTGTAATTATTGACATCCTTTAATGGAATTGTGAGTCAATGGGGAGCAATCTTAAGTATTATTCACATCATACTAGTCATCAGAGGAAGTAAAGACCAACTCTTTGTTTAGTTTCCCTTTGGACAACCATATTAAAAAACAAAATACAAACTGTTCTTGTAAGGTTGCTCGTCTTGATTCGAGTGACCATAAGTTCTCCTTCTTCAGCATCATTTTCCAGACACCAATTTGTCATGAGACGCTGCAAAAAGAAAAGAAAAGGATTGATAGGACGTTGTACTGAAAGTCTGAAAGGTTGTGGTGAATGGCTGGATTCTCTCATCCCTAAATGAGATGTCTCGTGTAAAAAGTTCTTTGTAGAATACACTTTAACCCCCTTATTTGTCCTAAAAAGGAAAAAAAGGAACTGCAAAGTATTTGGCGGTAAGAAACTCATGGTAGTCTTACTATTCACAATCAGTGTTAGGGTCAATGCTAAAACCAAGAGAAACACCACAGAAACCAGGCAGAGTGGCAATGGCAGTAGCATTTGGATTGTAAGTAGTAATAAGATCCATCATGCATCTACTGACAGACTGGCGAGTCTGAATGCCAGTGGAGCTTGCTATGGTGCTTAGAGTCGTTATAGCAATGCAGCATGGTGCACCTGGAATTGGATCTGGTGTGCCATAGTTCACGAAGCTGGCGCATGCTGATACCAGTGATGTCACTGTGCTGCACTCGTCATCAGCTGCAGCTTTGCGAATTATTAAGGCAACCCTGAAAACCATCACCATCCAAAATACAGATTCATCTTCAGAATAGTTGCAAGTTGCAACTGATATAATAGAATCTCTTCTACTTGTATTCAAAATAAACATGAGGGTGATTGTGTGTCCATTTCATCCAGGTTGCATGACAGAGTTGTCAGGTCCATCATGCATCCAACACTGGACTCTTAAATATGTAAATAGATATTAAGTCATGTGCCTTAGTACCTTACTAGTATTTCTTTTGTCTTTGTTCTGCTAATTCTTTCATCTCAGCAACAAACATAACAAAATGAAGGCTTCTTTTTGTTATGTTTGTTGCTGAGATGAAAGAATTAGCAGAACAAAGACAAAAGAAATACTAGTAATGAAACGCTCTAGATATTTAATTTAGTGGTAAAAACTAGAAAGAAGAAAACATGCTAAAAGAAACAAATGATTTAACTACTGCTCTACAGGCTTTGTGCTAGCATCTCTAGTTACTGTCCATTTAGAGGTGGGAACACAGCTGAGGTAGTGACACCAATGGCCATGAATCATGATCATATCCATTAACCCCTCGGAACAGCAACACCAGTCCGACTATAATTAATGCAATGACTCCATCCTATAGTTTCTAATAGAAACACTGTCTGAACCTTTCTTTCGATTGAGGATGTAAAATTGGACACTACAACAATTGTTTTGGAATCCATTACCACCTTGTTAGTGTAAATTGACAAAAAGGATGCTACCCAGATATGCACAGCCAAGAAGATTTGAGGGAATCTTGAACCAAGCCTTTAGCTTATGCTCAAGGATTGATTATTAAATATATACTCGTAAATCAATCCTATATATATACTAATATTTTTGAACAACTCCGACCCCCTAAGTTTCATGTAGCTCCGCCCCCACCAACTAGAAACAAAGAGTGCCCCGAAGATTAAAAGACCACCTTTTACTTTGTTTACTTAATTATTTCAACACTCAACCAACCAAATTTATATATATATATATATATATATATATATTATTCCTATTTCCCAGTTAGGGTTTTTAGGACTTAGAAGTCAAAGCGCCACTAATACAGTCCTCAGGCGAGGCGACGGCAAGTCTCACTCCTCATCCACTCAGGTGACGACGACAACTCCACGAGTCACAATTTCACTGATTCATCGTGCTCACAAATTAGAAGCTCGAGTCTTCTCACTTCTTATTGACTCTCAGGACTTAGAAGCTCGCAATTTCACTCTCCGCTCACAAGTAAGTCTCAAAAATTTTAAATTCACTTAATTTCAAGATTTCACTGTCAAGGGTGATGTTTGGGTTTGATTTATGAGAAAATGATTGTGAATTTTCACTTAGGTCTTACAAAACTCAGTCGCTCACTGCCTCCATTTCACTCTCAGAATTACAACTCTGCTCACGCGTTCACGATTTCTCAATCTCTGCAATTGTAAGTCTAAATTGCACTTTGATTTCACGATTTCACTGCCACGTTTGGATTTGATTTATGAGAAAACTACAATTGAAAGAGTTGAATTGGCATTACTGTTTTTTTTTTTTTTGAATTGGCATTTAACTTGGCACTTTGGATCATTTGTTTGTACTTTGTAGTCTTCTACTTGCTGCCTTGTGTCTTGTGTGTAACTTCTGATTCTACTTAGCATTTGTAGTTCTTGCTACAATAAACTATTGTTTGAATTGGCATTATAATTTGTTTTAGCTATTGTTCAGTCTCTGTTTAGTTCCTTCAACAGTTCATCGGCCTCTTATAAGAAATTGTTCAATGAATGATTATTTTATATGTTTTTGCAGTCTTTGGTGAAAGTATCATGGCTGAAAATATCATAACTTGTAAGGTTGTTGGTGAAAGTGGAGCTTCTAATTAAAATGCAATAGGTCAAACTCAAACTGCTCAGTCCAAAGTAAAGAAAGAAAGGAAAAAAAGATCCCGTGCATGGGATCATTTTACTTGTAAAGCTAATTCTGATGAAAATGATAAGGGTGTTTGTAACTATTGTAAGCAAGAGTAGTTTGCTGACACAAAAGAACATGGTACGACGGCAATGATTGGTCATATACCTAAATGCAAGAAGATGCCTTATAATATTGATATTAAACAATCAAAATTAGCATTTCAACCAGTGATATGGGGTAACAAGGGTGATCTAGTTGTTGTTCCATGGAAATTTGAGCAGGAAGAGTGTAGGAAGGCTTTGTGTCGTATGGTAATTCTTGATGAACTTCCTTTCAGATTTGTTGAAAAAGATGGTTTTAAACAATTTATGGAAGTAGCACAACCTTGTTTCCTCATTCCTTCTTGTACCACTGTGACTCATGATTGTTTTGATCTTTTTGATGAAGAAAAACATAAAATGATGGCTGTTTTCAAGGAAACACAACAAAAGGTGTCTTCAACCACTGATACTTGGACTTCCATACAAAGAATCAATTATATGGTCATTATTGCTCATTGGATTGATAAAAAATGGACTTTGCATAAAAGAATTATCAACTTTTTTCCAATCTCTAGTCATAGAGGTGAAGATCTTGCAAAGTCTATTAGTAAGTGTTTACATGAGTGGGAATTGCATCGGATTTTCACTGTTATAGTTGATAATGCTAGTTCAAATAGTGTGGCAATAACTGAGTTGTCTAAGCAATTAACTAAGTGGGGGACCAACCTAATGGGTGGTAGTCCAAGTGAGTCTCTTCCCAAGCTCGTAGAATATACAAAACTTTGAAGCAGCTGATTCTGTAACATAAAATTCAATTCGCTAGAATTTATCCTCTCATTCAGTAGTTAAAACTGGTAGCAACCTAATAAAGTATCAACTAATTAGGAAAATGTATTGAAAGAAAAAGTATTTATGTTGAAAGCTCCACAAACAAATGTATTATCAATACTGATGGTTCAAAGTAGACGAACCCTTGTAACATTTTGATTCGTAACTGTTATTTCTCATTCAGTTGAATAAAGTGCTTATTGTTAACTTACTTGTTCTTCCATAGGAAGAGTGTTGGCCTGAGTAAAAGAGGAAAGAGGGACAGATTTTCTTAGGTGCAGATAGAACATAGAAGAAAGCCTCAGTTTTTCCAGAACAGTTTAATATGAACATTTTTAATCACAATTTATGTGTCTCAGTTATTCTTCCTTAAGAATAATGTTGGCCTGAGTAAATAATTGGCAAGTGGTGATTTTGTGGAACTCTCTTTTTTTGAATTCTAGAAGAATCATATCTAATTGTACTCGTACTTTAATTTGACGGTTTTACTTACTAGCTTGAGATCATTGTCCTAAATTCAGAACCCATAAGTCCCAAATCCTGGCTCCGCCTCTTTTATGGATAGATCACTCACTGAGATCTTTTGTTCTGTTATGAAATTATTAGGAGATTAACTAGAGAACAATTTAGCTTTTCTGGGCTATTAGATTCTGTTTTATTCTTATTTGGGTGCTCATTTTCTTTGTAACTTTATTTGAAAGCTTTTAGTATAATGACTGGTAATATCTAAATTGTTTAGAACTAAAATGACGATGGAGCAAGATAGTTGCACAAGAGATACATGTGATGCTGCAATGCAACAAAAGTTGTTAATTCTAAGCAAACAATTAATACTTGCTTTGTCCCGTATTATGTGAAGGTGTTACTGTTTGGGAGTCAAATAATCTTTCTTCTTTGCAGAAAAAGAAGAAGCATAAATAGGCACTGAAAGCCAGACCCGTGTTTGTGATTAGAGCCACGGGTGGCTGTATCACAGTAAACTGAGCAAAGGCAACTGAGACTGAGAGGATGGAGAATACAACGAGTGTATTGCCACTAGTCTGCAAAATCATTCACATACCTGAAAAGTCATCCTTTCTTCCTCATCTCCAACCCACAGTTAACGTGCTTGCTTCTGTCATTGAACCCAAAGATGCCAATACTCTAGTCAGGAAGTTAAATAAGATTGCACCACTGGAAAATTTGCAACATGTGAAGCGTGTGCAGAAGAAAAGCATTGATGGGGGGAACCTCAATTATCTCTGCTTTTATGTATGACTGTTGGAAATGATGGTGGAGATGATTGCATGCCATACGAGATTCTTGAACTTGTCAAATCATACCAGTTGAGTACTTTCATCACAAAAGTTTGCAAATATGCTGCAACATCAAAAGAAGAATGGGACGAACAGTGCAAGCTCTGGCCTACTTCGTATCATCCGCCAACCTACAACATCAGTGGCATAACTGGATTTAGTGAAGAGGAGTCGCAATCAGTTGTCGGTTTCATGAGACACACCATTAATTTGGCAACATCTTCTATTGGTCAGGTGGTCAATGCTGCTGTTATTGTAGATCCTTCAACTAAGCAGGTCATTGCAAGTGCTTGTGACCAGGTAATATCCTCGGCCAGTCTTGCAAATGGGGTCAGCAAGGAAGGTAGCTGCTCGAACTATCTAGAAAACCTCAAAGCCTCTAATTTGGAAAACCAGCAAATGTCACTTTTGGATGGTTCAATTAGTGAATTCAAACCTATAACTGACAATGTTGCTTGTGTACATCCTTGGCAATGGGCACTGCAAAACTCTAGTTGCTGGCATCCTTTGCGGCATGCGGCTATTGTTGCCATTGAAAATTCTGCTGCCAGGGATCTACAACTTTTTCCTGATCACAAAGCTCTATCTCCTTTGAAAAGACAGAAGATCGAGGAGTCTGGCTTCCAAAGCAATGGCCATAGTTATCAATCGCTCAGACCTTATCTATGTACTGGATATGACATTTATCTGGCCTGGGAGCCATGTGCAATGTGCGCAATGGCGCTTGTACATCAAAGAGTTAGACGGATATTTTTTTCTTCCCCAAATTCCAGTGTTGGTGCACTAGGAAGTGTTCACAGATTGCAAGGGGAGCGGAGCTTAAATCACCATTATGCTGTTTTCAGGGTCGTGCTGCCTGAGGAGGTGTTCAGGAATAAAGTTGTAGATGGAAAGACTTCTGGAAGTGGTTGAAACAAACACTAATCAGCTTTTTGGGGAGGTTAGGTCTTATGACACTTTAACTAAGTCAGAAAAATGTTAATGTGCATAATTATCCATGACATGTACACTCGGTCTCCCTTCTTATGTATATGCAAGTAAGGGTGCTACTGTGTCGGTGCAATGATCTGTTCCCTTGTGGTGAAAAAAAGGTTCTTTGACTACAATTTTCTCAAGCTATTTTTAAAATATGTAAAATTTTATTTTGAAGATTCCATACATGAATTCATAATCAAAATCAATTGTTTGATCCTCGTACTCCGAACCCCTTCACATAACTTGGGACAAAGGGAGTAACAAATAGTAATTCATATTTATGTGGTTATCATATTACAAATACAATTCATATTTTACCTTGGGAATTTATATTTGAAGAACTGCTGAAGGTAGATGTGAATATTTACATGGAGAATAGCAAAGGAAAAATGGAGTCATGATTATGAAATGTATTACTTGTTGGTATCTTCCAGCTTCTTTTTCTTCATTCTGTTATTTGTTTTTAGCTTTTCCATCTTCAGAAGAAGGATTTGGTAGTATTGTGATGCACTCACTAAATCTGTGAAATGGATGAATCACCTCATACTACCTCCTTTGGGGCATTTGGCTTGAAAAATGATAACTTTGTATATTTTAGTTGCAATGTTCCTGGAACGAGATCATAATAATTATAAGAATCTTATTGTTTCCATATTATTTATTCTTTAACATCGCTTCATTTCTTTTCTCTTGTAGTCTTTAAAAATTAAAGATAAATGACAAGTGACATGTTACCAACGATTCAACAAACCAAGAATGGTTCTTATATGTGGATTATCCGGAGGGGAAAATTACTGTCAGCATCAACCAGAAGATTGAAGTCACAAAAGAGAAGAAACTGTTCCAATGAATCAAAATTTGGTTCACCAATACTTATCCATGTTTAGCAAGATATGCCGAGCTGAGTACGATATCCCACAACATTTCCAGATGGGAGTTTGAATCGAATACATATGGAATTTTTTAATATCAAGATTTGAGAATAGATTTGGGTAGTGCATTTGATTAAAAGTTATGTAACCATTAAATTACTCTGAAGATTTTTTCATCTGAAGTTTTCTGATGGTTCCGAAGTGGGTGATTTTAACATTCATATGAATATTTCACCTGTGCAACAATATGAAGGCCAGATTTGCTGGTAGAAAACCAGTTTCAGAGAGCCAAGAAAAGAAGATTGTGGAAGGACAATAACATTGTCAAGCACATCTTGGTAACTTTCTTCTTTTACTGGATTTTTAAATGGATATTGTTTGAACTAGCTGTGGAAACAACATCTTGCAGAAATGCAGGGTCTGGCCCTTGTGGTATGTACAATAGACCCTTGTGGTCTGACCCTTCTCTGGACCCTGCACATAGCAAGAGCTTAGTGCACCGGGCTGCCCTTTTTTAGGTCACATAGCGCACCTAGGCAAAGAGTGCAGTTTGAGAAAATTGGTTCGACAAAGTATGTTGATGGACTTGTGGATGCAGACACAAATTCAGAGAATAGTTGGAGATCGCTTGGTAACTTCAGGAACAAAGCAAAACCAGGATCAGGTCAATCAGACCGAGTAGGGAGACCTGATCATCGCAGTACTGTCCATTCCAGCTCTCCCTTTGGCCAGAGACAATAGAGAAATGCTTCCTTTAGGCTTGCTGTACAAATTCTAGTAGTAAAAATCAACCTTGGTCTCAATGTGACCTACGGTAAGTACTTGCCAAGTTGATCAAGACTTGTGTTTGTAAAGTGAAAATAACAGGTTGCAATTATCTTGTTTGATGGTCGTTTAAGTTGTTAAATTTTGCCTGTGGCAATGTTTGATAAAATGTAGCAATCATATATTTCCAGAAAGTTCTCATCCCACATACTTTAATTTGGGCCCCATGGATGAAGAAAATGCTCAAAATAATATTCGTTCCATGCTTTGGATGGCACCTCCTTTCTAACCAAACGGCCCCACAACATGAAGCTTTTTACTTTTCTCTAATGTTACTTGTGGATTTACCCAAGTTGGTGATATGCTGACTAAGAAAATAGAAAGCAAGAAGTAGGCAAAAGGTTGAACTAGTTGTTGGTGCCTTTTTACTTTCTCTCTTAGTTAAGACACTTATTCTCAACTAGTATTAGTTTTGTCATTTTTCCTTCCTTTGTTTTTTAGTTTCAAGTAAGATTTTCTCCTTTTAGTTTCTGCGGAAACTTTTACTATCATGCAATGCAAATTCTGTTGTGAGTCAATGTGGAGCAATCGTTAAGTATTATTCACGTCATACTATAGACATCAAAGGAAGTAAAGACCAAGTCTTTGTTTAGTTTCCCTTTGGACAACCCATATGTAAATAGCAAATTACAAACTGTTCTTGTAAGGTTGCTCTTCTTGATTAGAGTGACGATAAGTGTTTCTTCTTCAGCATTCACTTTCCCGACACCAATTTGTCACGAGACACTGCAAATAGAAAAGAAAAAGATTGATCAGACGTTGTACTGAAACTATATACCACCAAAGGCAAAGGTTGTGGTGAATGGTAGGATTCTTACGACCCTTAACCAGATGTCTCATGTAAAAAGTTCCTTGTAGAATACACTTTAAACCCCCTTATTGGTCCTAAAAAGAGAAAAAAGGAACTGCGAAGTATTTGGTGATAAGAAACTCATTGTAGTCTTACTATTCACAATCAGTGTTAGGGTCAATGGTGAAACCAAGAGAAACACCACAGAAACCAGGCAGAGTGGCAATGGCAGTAGCATTTGGGTTGTAAGTAGTAATAAGCTCCATCATGCATCTACAGACAGACTGGCGAGTCTGAACACCAGTGGAGCTAGCTACAGTGCTTAGGGTTGCCATAGCAACGCAACATGGTGCACCTGGAATCGGATCTGGTGTGCCATAGTTCACGAAACTGGCACATGCTGATACCAGTGCTGTCACTGTGCTGCATTCATCATCAGCTCCAGCTTCGTGAATTATTAGGGCAACCACCACCATCCAAAATACAGATTTCATCTCAGCAGAGTTGTACTTTCATCTCTTCTACTGGTGTTCAAATAAATATTAGGGTCCAATTCATGCAGGTTGCATGACACAGTTGTCAGGTCCATCATGCATCCAACACTGGACTCTTATGTGAAGTTGATTTTAAGTCCTGTGCCTTAATTAGTATTTATTTTGTCTTTGTTCCGCTCATTCCCCTTTTTTCATCTCAGCAACAAACATAACAAAAAGAAGGCAAATATGTTGAAAAGCCAAGGCAAAATCACCAACAGGAATTATCTACTAAGAATCATTTGTTTCGTAAGGGGAAAACAGTAAATGAATAAACACAAACTAAATCTAGATATCTAGTGGTAAAAACTAAAAAGAAGAAAACATGCTAAAAGAAACAAATGATTTAAGTACTGCTTTACAGGCCAAACTGTGCAAGCATCTCTAGTTAATTCCATCACACTTCCATCTAGAGGTTGGAACACAGCTGAGGTAGTGACACCAATGGCAGTGATCATATCCATTAACCCCTCGGAATAGCAACACCAGTCCAATGGTAAACCTGCAATTTTAAGCACAAATGGATAATCTGGTCAGGGTGCATTGCGATTTTCTTTCAGATGAAAAAATAAAAATGACAAATACATATATATACTTAATTATGTATAAACTCATACTATTACTTTTAGAGCCAAAGTTGTGTCTTATACTAACCCTGCTACAAGCAGAACAAGAGAAACAAGCCCCAGCCCGTATTGGTAAGCCTTGTATTTAGAGTTCACACGAACACCAGCTGGAAGATTCCGACGTTGCATCCACCCTAGTTGAGGGCGTGGAAGCAGAACAAAGCCAAGGAGAAATCCAGTCAAGAATCCACCAATGTGAGCAAAATTATCCACATGAGGCAAGATTCCAACTGCTAGATTGATGGCAACTATCACCAAAAGCGTCAAGAGTGCACAAACCTATGCCAAATATCAAAATGATGATAAGTATACATATATAGTGCATTGTTCTGACTCCGTCCTATAGTTTCTAACGGTAACACTATCTGAACCTTTCTTTCAATTGAGAATGGAAAATTGGACACTGTAACAATTGTTTTGGAATCCATTGAGTGGCATTATCACCTTGTTAGTGTAAATTGACCAATTCGTAATAAGTTCTGAAAGCATAGCTCCAAGTAGGCCAAAGAGTGCCCCTGAAGCACCAACAGAGATGTTCCTCTGGATAAACAAGGAAGATAGTATGCTCCCACCAATGCCAGACAATAAGTATATAATTCCAATGCGCACTGCAAAACAAAAGATGACTTTTAACTGAGTACATAATTGCATTTCAAGACCCAAACTAGAAAGACCATTACACATAACATACCAAAGCCACATTGCTGTTCAAGACGTATGCCAATAATTACAAGACTCAACATATTCGCAATCAGATGAATAACACCAGCGTGTAACCAGATACACGTGATAAGCCTCCATCCTTGATGTTGATGGACCACTTTCTTCCATTCAAGTCCCCCCAGCCTCTCCAACCTTCAGCAATAACAAAATGCATAATTTACCAAAGACATTTAACCATCCTAATATAGGCCATTATATTGAGGGTAGAAGTACTTATAAACTTTGTATACTTGATATTTCATAAGCCAAAAAAAGAAAAAACAATCACTTCCAAACCAAAACTACCATATGTGTGGACAGTTATTAAACCTTAAATAGATAGACAACATTGATGCCTAGTAAAAGTTTGCCGTATTAAGTTGGGAAGAAGTCTTTGCATGCACCAACTTGAGGCATACAAATAACAGGTCCATATACAAGAGTAGGACAGGCATTCAGATAAGACACTTTCAAGTAGTAACTCCCACCAAGAGACACACAAATTGGAGCAAGGTCCCCACAATAAATCTATTCAAGAACTGTACAAGACTAGAAGTTTCTATCCTCAGTGCCACTTATAGCTTTCTCCGGTGAAGACAAACAGAACTGCAGTTTACAATATGTCAGTAAAATCTCTAAATCTTTTATGTGCAAACCATAGGGATAGGTTGACAGTCACCAAAACAGTTAAACGATGATAATGAATATAGAATCCCATATGTTTATTGTTGACTAGTTTGGGATAAATGTAAAACTGACTTCTATATAACTAATCGTAGCAATCAAACAGACAAACAAAAGTTGAAAAGGATGTAGAGGAAACTGGCGTAAAACAGTAGAAATCTGCTTACTAGTCACCTCAAACAGCAAACGAAAAAAAAAATACAAATCTCACAGCAGCTACTGGAAAGGTTGAACAAGAACACAAAGGTCTAAGAGGTAATCCAAATTAAAAATTATACTATATTTCTTTTACCGCGCTCTCAACCGACACTTTTTGACAATTAAACAAGAAACAGTAACTGAAAAGGAAATCCTATAAGCAAACCAAATACAGCTAGTAATTACATAACAAATTGTATCTCCTATACTTAAAATTTCTTTTAACACAAACAAGCATCAACCATAAAGACTCAACCTTTAACCCAATAAACGACTCAAGAACACATAAATATCCAAAATTACAACATGGGGTATCTAAAAAATTCAAACTTACGTTGAAGAGGAAGGTCCAAACAGAGGATTTTCCCTCAACGGCTGAAAAGAAAACCTTCCAAGAAACCTAGCTACACAACCCTGATCATGTTTGGAACAATTGTTGAAATACATGACAATAACAAACATAACAACATTAGCCACCACAAACAAAGGAATCAACCAAGAAAGCCACGGCGTATCTGTGTCTTCCACAGCATGCGAAGAAGCATGATTGCTTCCCCTGTTTTTTTTCGCCTCTGCTTTCTATATCTCCTCCTCTCATATCTCTCTTATGTAACAATAACAACTCTGTATCTTCTTTTTTTCTTCAATTTCAACTCAAAATTAGAGACTTATAGTTATGTTTTTAAGTAATAAGAGGGGGTTTAATGGGGGGAAGGAACGTGGGAATGTGTGTAGAGAGAGAAACAGGGGAGTTGTTATTTTTGTTTGTGCTGATGATTGATCGTGGGATAATGGGATTAGTGCGTTTTAGTTTTGTGGTTTTTATTAATTACTTGTAATTAATGGGTGGATAATGAGAATTTATAGGATATGAGAGAACAAACTAAACTTTATTCAAGATTTTATGGAACCGGTAAGATATGCTCTTTTTTGCCTCTTCACTACTTCTATTATTGGAAATATTTGTCGGTTATACTATTAGGATAAGTTATTCTTATTTGGGTAAAATAATAATCATAATATAACTTATTTCAAAATAAAATATTTTAAATGACAAAAATATCTTTATGATACTATTTTTTTAATAAACCAAATATTCACTAAAAAATAATATCAGAATAACTAATTTCTTCAAACCTAATGACCCTTCATTATATAAGTCGTTATCAAACTTGAGAGGGACAATTGGTGAAGAAATTCATGAAACATTAGTACTTTTTCATTTTGATTTTGTATAAAGTTTAAGACAGTAAAAGTTACTTTTGACGAAAAATGTTCTTTCATTCTTTGGTCTTCAACTTAAAAAAATTTGTCTAAAGAAATAAATTTTTTTTTAAAAGAGACTAAAGAGAAAAATATAACAAACAAATTGAAATAAAGGGAGTAAAAAAAAGAGCAACTTTCACATATAGCAAACATAAAAATCATATTTGTACGTTATAGCTATAGTTTGCATAATTGCGCTCCATAGCAAACATAAATATGTATATTTCGTTATACATGTACAAAAGAAAGCAGTTGTATAATCTGTTTATGTTTATGTTTCGGTATACATATACAAAAGATCAATTGTATAATATGTGTTTGTATAAAGCGAGAAAGAGAAAAAGACAAAGGAAAACTGGGCAGGGAAAGATCGTATTTGTATAATCATAAGTGTATAGAATAAAAATATATGCATTTGTATTTGTATATACAATTTTCTCTCGCTTTATACAAACAGAAACGCAATGTATACATTTGTGTTTGTATAAAGTGAGGAGGCGAGTGAGAGTAGCGAGCGAGATCTGGGAGAGTGGCGAGCAAGATCTGGGAGAGGGGAGAGAGGGGAGAGAGGGGAATGAAAATATATGTATATATACAATTTTCTCTCATTTTATACAAACACAAATGCATTTTATACATTTGTGTTTGTATAAAAGCGAGAGAGATGAGGGAGACTGCCAGCGAGAACGAGAGTGGCGAGCGAGATTCACCAGGAGCAACAGTTTGTTATGGGGTACAATTAAATCAAACTATGTTTATAGCATTTAATTTGAATTAATAGTTTGCTATTATATATAATTTTCCAAAAAAATCTGATGCATGAACAACTTCTTTTTTTTTAGCAAAGATGGCCAAACAGACCATAATATATATAAGAGAATAAAGTGAGTAAAGGCCAAAGCCCACAAATACGAAGAAGCAAAATTTAAGGCATAAAAAAAAAGTATAACTTACATGATCCCTACTCTTTTTCTAATTACAATAATCCCTTAAAATTTGTACCTTCCGGATACATAAGTCACAATTCAGATACATTAAATCACCATCCGGATACATTTATTCTAATACAAGAAGAATCTTTCTGTTGCGCTAAAAAGGGAATAAAATCTGAAAATCTAATTAAATCCCATAAATTACTCTTACGTTTCTTCTTACTCTCAAATTCAAAATTTCAAATTGTTCCCCCTGTTCAGTAAGGAACCTTTCAGACTTGATTAAAAAACTTTAGTCGGAATTTTGGGTTAGCAAGGTGAGTTATGAAGGATACAAAAGTGATGGAATTGTTGTTGGACAAATGATTTCCTTTTGAATCTTCAAGTTCATCGAAGATCCTTTCAATTTTGATTCAAGTTGTTTGGATTTGCTATGTATACCCTCTGTTTTTAATTTTTGAATTTGTATTGATATATAAGTCGTAATACATTACTAGTTTGATGTATATGTAATGTGTTTTTAGATCTCAAATTTCTTCTTTCTCAATTTTTGAATCAAACTTGTCGACAAAAGTTATGAAATTGTTGTTGTTCAAAATATTGGCGTTGAACTTATAAACCCGAGCTAATCAAAGGTTATTTCGTTTTTCGCTTGGGGATTGGGGGCTATTTGTTTTCTTGCGTTGCTTGTTTGTCACCATTTTTGCCATTTATTGTTGTTCTGAACTCCTGATTGTTGCTAGTTTTGCCATTGATTGTTGTTCTGAAAAATATGATGTTGATAAAGGTGGGCATTTTGCTAAATATATGACAAAGGACATTATGGTATTGATATATAAGTCATGATACATTACTGATTACAAATTGATACATTACTAGTTTGATGTATATGTAATGTGTTTTTAGATCCCAAAATTCTTCTTTTCATTCTTCCAAACAAATTCTCAATTTTTGAATTAAACTTGTCGACAAAAGTTATGGGATTGTTGTTGGTCAAAATATTGGTTTGTGAATCTCAAATCAGCCATTGCAACTGAATTAGAGATCGATGAGTTGAGGAAAAGATTGGAGATCAGATACATCGTTGAGGTGAATATGTAAGTCATGATACATTAGTGGTAAACAACGCGCGTGTATTGTAATTTTGCATCTATGGATTATGATGTGGTCATTATTTTATATATGGATGTGATTTGTATAAAAATGTATCATCATAATATATTGTATATGATACATGCTATAAATGAATTAACAATTGAGATGGATCAGATAAGTTTTGAATATCGAGCGTGTGTATCACATATTTGTATAAATGTATCATGCTATTATTATGTATATTGTACATATAAAAAGTGTAACAATTGAGATATGTAAATTACTTATTTTGATCAAGAAAAAATGTGAATCATACATTAATATATATTATGACACCTACATATAATTGAATGAAAAGGTTGAAATGTAAGTCTTCCAATTCTAGGCACCTTTACATCCACGTAAAGAAACAAACATATATACATGAGGTTATGATAAGCCTAAACTTTATTAGAAAAAAGATGAGAAAAAGAAGACGATGATGAAGAAAAAAGAAAAGAAAAGAAAATAATATATTTTATTTTTAAAATTGTTGAAGGTATTGATAGATCGGAGAAAAAGAAGGAATTGTGTTGGTGTGACTAAAAGTAGAGAGAAATTTGTGGAGTGAAATAAGGAAGGGATAAACGTTGGTTTTAGGAGTTAGGATTTATGTATCTGGCGTTTGGGGGTTTGGGAGTAAAATAAGGGATTTTGGAAAATTTTAAAACTAGTAGGGAATAATGGAAATTATAGAAAAAAAAGGTGTGTATATAAGTAATTTATCCTAAAAAGAACAGATCCCCAAAATGGCCCAAAACAAAACTTTCTAAAATCAGATTCCATGTCTGTAAGAATTATTATTAAATATTATTTATAGTATTACTTGGGTTATAAGTAAACTTGGGCCTTAAGTAAGAAATAATTAATAATAATTCTTACATTCTCCCACTTGGCCCAATGACCATATAACATTAATATTTCATAAACACTAGTGGCGCATGTAATAAATCTCTTCTATAATGTCCAACATGCATACCACAATATAACAAACTACTAATGCAAGTTATAACAGTTGTACATAAATTTTAAGCTACATACTTCATTCCATATACTACTACATTAGCAACTCATCATATTAGGTTCATAAGCTATAAAACATATAACATTATGGTCCACAATAATGTCTCATAGAGACTTATCTTGTAATATCTCAGAACAATAATGTGTACACCATTATGAGAAACAAGAAATTCATTAATGTATATCAGAAACACATAATTTGAGCTCAGAGTGTAAAAACATCATAAATGCATCAATCATAAGTACAACCAAGACACATTATTTGAACATGTTCTTTAAATGTCTTTGGATGTAAGCCTTTTGTTAACGGAACTGCAATCATGAGATCGGTTCTAATATTCTCAAGTAACACTCTTTGTTTCTGAACTCCTTCCTTGACGGTAGAGTACTTTAATTCCATATGTTTGGCACCTTTGGAGTACTTATCATTCTTGGAAAAGAATACTGTTGCAGTATTATCACAATAAATTTTCAGCGGCTTGGTAATGGTGTCGACAACCCTAAGTCCTAAAATGAAGTTTTGCAGCCATAATGCATGAATTGTGGCTTCATAACATGCCACAAATTTTGCTTCCATTGTGAATGTAGCAATGACAGATTGCTTAGCACTCCTCCACGATATTGCTCCTTCAAGTAACCAAATGTGGACTTTCTAGTGTCAACGCATCCAGCAAAATCTGAATCTGAGTATCCAGTAACTTCTAAGTGATTGAATTTCCTATACATGAGCATGTAATCCTTTGTTCCTTTCAGGTACCTTAAGACTTTCTTTGCAGCTTTCCAGTGATCAATTCCAGGGTTACTTTGATATCTCTCTAGCATTCCGACCGCAAAACTAATATCCGGTTTTGTGCAAGTTTGAACATACATCAAACTTCCAACAATAAAAGAGTAAGGAATTGTTTCCATTTCTTTTCATTCTACATCATTCTTTGGGCATTGCATGAGATTTAATTTGTCCCTTTTTTGAATATGAACTATTCTTGCTGAACAATTGTTCATGTTAAATCTCTTTAGAACTCTTTCGATATAGCCTTTTGAGACAGTACCAATAATCCTTGTGATCTACAACGGAATATATCTATCCCTATCACATGGGATGTCTCACCGATATCTTTCATTTCAAAGTTCATAGAGAGAAAGTCTTTCGTCTCACGCAATATGTCTAAATCATTAGCAGCAAGTAAAATGTCATCAACATATAGGACTAAAAATATAAACTTACTCCCACTGATCTTTTGGTATATACACTGATCATCGATAATCTCCTTAAATCCAAAAGATATTATGGTATCATTAAACTTTATATACCATTGTCGTGAGGCTTGTTTGAGTCCATATATTGACTTCTTTAGTTTACACATCATTTGATCTTTTTATTTAATTTTGAAACCCTCTGGTTGGTCCATATAAACATCCTCCTCGAGATCTCCATTAAGAAAGACGGTTTTCACATCCATTTGATATAACTTTAAATCATAATGAGCTACCAAAGCCAACACAATTCTTAATGAGTCTTTCTTCGAGACCGGTGAAAAGATCTCTTTATAATCAATGCCTCTTTTTTTAGTGTATCCCTTGGCAACAAGTCTGGTTTTATATCGTTCAATATTACCATTAGAATTGCGTTTGGTCTTGAAGACCCATCTACACCCGATTCTTTTAGAACTTTCTAGTAATTGAACAAGATCCCAGACTTTGTTGTATTCCATGGATTTTAACTCTTCATCTATGGCCTGTGAAAATGGACCTTAATTTCTTCCCCTTTCTAAAGATTAATGGATTGAATCTCTCAAGAGATTAATACCACCATCAAATCTAAAAAATTAAGTTGAAACTAATGTCCATGTGTGCTACACTTTGCTTGATCTCTGGAAAGGATCTACTGGACAAGAACTTGAATTAGTTGCAGAGACGGAGCTTAAGTTAAGAGGCTGGGGGTTCTAAATCAATTTTGTTTGGGGGACCATATGTTAATATACATATATTTATTTAATTTTCTAATGCAAATATAGGATCTACAAAAAAACTAGTGGGTTCGTCCGAACCCATGAACCCCACCAAGATCCGCCTCTAGTTAGTCGAGATACCCACTAGAAGCATCAAAGCCCTAATTTGGTATAGAAATACACCAAAAATGCTCTCACCAGGTGTGTTACCCAAATCTTTAAGAAATTCTTCTGACTTTTATACTTACTCTAGACATAACCTGTGTTAATGCATTTTCTTGTTGATATTGGTCTCTCTTACTTTACGTGGTCTGGTGGAACTGTATAGCTAACTACAATCTAATACTTGCCTTCTTAGATGAGGAATGCCCTGCTTATCTAGATTTAATATATTTTTGCCTTCGATTAAAAACGTAGTCACCTGCAAGAACAAAAACTAGGTTAGCGAAAAAATCAGTAAGAGTATTTCCTTCCAGCAGGGAGTGTTGTACTCTTGCTGATATAGTTCTTCTCAATTTCTTGATATAATCAACCTCCAGCACCACACTCCAAGGGGCTTTCCATGTGCCCTCCAGGATTTGTACCATTGCTATAGAATCTGATTATATGATAACATTGAAAATTCTATGAACCTTACAGTACTCCATACATTCTCTAATGGCTCTGGCTTCAGCAACCAAAGTTGTTGTATCTTGTATTTTAACTCCTTTCGCAACCACCAAATGCCCCAAAGAGTCTCTAATACTAAGAGCAGCAGAGTTGGGTCCTAGGTTTCCTCTGGAAGCACCATCGGTGTTACACTTAAACCAACTATCAGGGGGAGGAGACCATCGCACAATTCTGAAGCTATATGATGGTATATATCCTTCTAAGGAAACAACCATGTATGACCATTGATATGTTTCATTTTATCTTGAATCTACACATGATAAACTTCCTAATGATATCATTAGCATCTCCAATACTCTTCTCGGTTGAATAAATCCCTCCGTGAAGTATATTATTCCTTCTTTTCCACAAGACCCACAAAATAATCATAGGTACCACTTAAAAGGCCACTTTGACTCTAGCATTACCACTGGTATCCCATCACTTTCTTATAGATTGTTTCAAGTAAGTTAAACGATTTATCCCAGCAGCTCCATTAAGATATCGCCAAACTACCCTAGCTACTTCTCCATTCTGAAAGTGTTGGAATGTATGCGTCCACCTATGTAGATGGACTAGGTCCTCAACACAATTACAATAATAAACAGTAAAGAACAAATGCTAAAAGTAAAGATTGACAATCAACTTTACGTGAAAACCTCCTTGCTCAAGGGAGTAAAACCACAAACTGGCCTGCCAGGACTTTTCAAACTGCTTTCACTAATCTTCTCAAGCAAAAGTAAAAGTCAGTTTACAAATTGAGATTAACATACTAATCCCAACTCTAAGTAGTACCTCTTATTACTTAGCTGAGCCAGAGCAGATACAACTCTGCCCACTACACTAATCCTAACCGATTAGTATAGACTTTAGAGTAAGAAACTAAGTTATCTTTAACCTAGTTCTTACAATGATTCACACAAGTTTGAAACGTTTCTTTCACAAGTGAAATCAATCCTACAATATAAGCATTATTACAAGCAGACAAATGCAGCTGGTACTGAAAGCAAATAGAAGCACTTCTATCAGGTCCTTTGTTGTTTTGAAGATTGAAAGTACCTCTCTTTGAATGAATGATGAATGATGTTGTTTGTTGTTTGATATATACCATGAGGAATCATTATCCAACGTACAAACAACCTCGTCGTTTCTGATTGGTGAAGTACTTTGCAGCTTCACCAACTTTCTAACGTGGACAGCTTTACAGTTGTTCAGCACTTTGACACTGGACTAGTATTCATACTCTGCAGAAGACCAGGTCCCTACACTTGTGAAGAGATCATCAAAACATATAGGAACATAAGTCTTTATCAATTTCCCTTTTTTTTATGATGACAAACAATCTTCATTAACTCCTCATGAGTGAACAATCATTCATTCAATTTCAATCACTGGTGTTCCCCCTTAATCGATTCCCCTTTAATCAGTTGTTCCCCCTTAATCAGTTCCCCTTAACAAGATGCAAACAAAAGTAGTTTCCCCCTTTTGACATCATTGAAAAGGTAGAGCAGTAAACATATTTAAGTTAAAATGCGAGGCATGCAAAAATTCAGGGCCACACAAAACATGCGTATGACAGCAAGAAGAGATAATCAAACCACACACGAGCAAGGCAGAGACATAAGTAGCATTAGATCACAAATACTGACCATTGTAGGTAGTCAAAACAACACTAAGCCACAAAAGTTTAAGATAATAAGGTGGAACAACAAAAAAAGAAACTAGAGAGACAAGACACATTTAGGACGGAGGATGGGAGGGATTAAAAGTGCGCATCAATATCATTATGCGCTCGTTTGCACTTTCATGGGCCTATATCAGTTGCCTGGTTAGGGACTTAATTTCTTCATTGAGAGAGGCATTTGTCTCCAGCAGCACTGTGTTTTCATCCCTCAACTCCTTGAGCACCTGGTCATGACCTTCACCGGTACCAGGGGACCTGGAAACAGCTTTCTGCAATTCAGACTTGAGCCTTGTGATTTCAATCTCCTTGTCGCTCAGAATCGTGGTGAGATCAGTCACCTCCCTCTTAAGAGTAACATGCTGCTCCAGTACATCCGCCATTTGATATCTTCCCCTAGCCTGTCCCTCAACGCACTCACATTCTAGTAGAGTAGACATAGTGAACATCTGCTTGGTGGTACCAGGTACCCCTTTTCCAACTGGAACTTCAAAATGATTAAAGATAAAGGTTAGCAAATACCCATAAGGAATGTCGTGTTTGGCATTCTGACATGTCTTTACTCGATGCCTATGTTCCAGCATAATAGCAGGGAGGTTGATTTCCTCAAGCTCAACCATTTTTTCCATGAGGAAAAGATCGGTAGCAGAAGCAACTGTTCTCTTTTTAGTCCTGGGCACCATTACTTTGTTAATGAACTCGAACATCAACTGATACTCCCCTTTAAGAAACTTTTTAGGGAGCCCTGCACGCTTGGCATCTCCTCGTTTGGTAGCAAGCTTCGAGAAATCACCAGTTGGTTTACAGCCATTTACAACCCTCAATAGTTTGAATTCCTACCACAGGCACTCCAAGAATGATTCCTAGAGTCTCTTCATTAAGATGAATCTCCATATTCTTGACAACGGTTTTGATTCCACCCCCTTCTAGTAGTTCCATTTTGTAGAAAAATTCACGCACTTCAGGTTCGTGCAAGTATGGAACTGGTGGTTCAAAAAGATAATTCTATCCTTGAATGATGACAGCATCAACCAGATTGGTCATCCCAAATTTTGTCAGAATATCAGGATCAAAGACTCTACCATTCAATACTCTTTGTTGCTCCATTTTCTCTATCCGCTCCTTTCTGGTCAATTCCTTTTCTTTTATTTGGTCTCTAACCCTGGGACTAGGTCCCTTTACGGATTGTTCCTTCAACTGCCTTTTTTCTTTTACAAGAGGTGTCTGCTTTGTAACCTTCACCCTCTTTGCATGTGATTTCTTTCCCCCTTTTTGATTTCCCTTGGATTTAACCCTTTCTTCCTCAACTTCTCTTTTCCTTTTTGCCACATACTTGGCAGCATCCTCAGATTTAGTTTCATTGTTCTCAATAGACAGGGGAGCAAAGGCAGGTTGTTCAGGTTCAACCCCTTCTCTCCTCCTTTTTCTATTTCTCTCAGTTTGGGCTTTGCTTGCCGCAATCGTACTCCCCATAACCTTTTGTGTTTCACTTCCTGTAACATACTTTATGTTGTCTCCTTTAGGATGAGTCGGTACCAACTTTCCCTTCCCTTTTTTCTATCGCTTTTTTTCTTGTTTGCAGATTCATCAACAATGCCAATACTAGGGGTGGCTTTAACTGTTTCCAACTC